TTCTAAATAAACTGACCATACCTTGACTATTGTAGACAACTAATTATCTAAGAAAAATTAACTTGGCAAAGCAGCATTCACTATTAGTCATTAACTAATACTAATAATCATCCATATTCATTAAAAATGTTGGCACAAGACTCAGTCTTCCTCTCTACCCCACATCATTCCATTAGTCCAGCTTCCAGAAGCATATAAGAAATTCAACCAACATCCTAGACTTAAGTTTCACTGTCTAATTACCACCCAATCTTTTTCTCCTTTAAAAAAAAAATCAATGCCCTTTAGCTCCAGCTCACCAATTCCCAGGTCCACATCCTAAAAATTATCATTCATCACCTGGAACCACTTCACCTTTGAAATAAAATTTAAATGTCTCATTATCAGTCTCTTATCCTGCCAATCCTTTTATTTCCTCTCTCCTACTTCCAACTATTCTTCAATCTAACTCAATCAACCAACCCTCAAATTTTCTCTTGGTCAATCAGCCATTATCTTAGCTTTCTCACCTGTGCACAATGAATTATGCKTTAGAACATCATAATTATTCTTTCAAGAAAGTCATGTAATGCATTACACCCTTATCCTCTTCTCTCATCTGCCAAACTTCAAGCACACAGGAAAGTTGCAATCTGCATTAACTAGTTGAAAAAAATCACAAGGAGTCATGCAAGTAAGTACATTTCAATTTCAATTTCAATCTCCAACCTCAGTGAATCCTCAAACTAACAATTATTTCCCTTAGCCTTGTCCAGCTCACTCTTCTATTATCTTCACTATTCCAGGACTTCATCACTTTCTTCAAACTGTACTTCATCCCAGCCCAACTCTTACTCACCAGATTATCTTTCCTACTCATTAAAAGGAGTTCATTCATGCAGAACACTTTCCTTCCGATTTCCAATTCCCACTTACAAACTTCTCTACATCCGTATGCATCTCTCACTTTATCTCTAGTCCTTAAAAATGTAATGTAGCATAATACTATGACTATAGTGTAAAGTAATTTATGATATATTTCTTAATAACTGGAAGTCTGAAGGTTCCCAACACAAAGAAATGATGTTTCAGATAGAAATGTCAATAACATTGATTTGATCATTATGCATTGTATACATGTATTATTGTACTGCACCCTATGTGTACAAATATGTGTCAACTAAAAAAACTGTAGTAATGTCCCACCATCATTGGAAGCCAATTCTATCTGCTCCCTCTCTGAGACCCTGGTCAATCTTTCATTCCTGTTCTACTCTGTCCTCTCACAGGTCCGCCCATGACACTAAATTTAATAGCCAAATCTCTTGTCAACCTTAAGAAAAAAAATTCTTCATCTTATGTCACTGTCTAATTACCACCCAATCCTTTTCTCCTCTCATTCAAATGTCATCATTCTATTGAAACAATTTACCATAAGGCCCCCTTTTTCACTTGCATCTTACTAAGGCTGTTGAAAGCACATTATAGTGCTAAAAATCTTTCTCCACTGTCAGAAGTTCTACCTTCTTAGTGTTCACTCTAACACAGGCTCTTTGTTTTCCTTATATTCTGTGACTATTGGTTCTCTGCCTGCACTATAGACTCCTTGCTGATGGTATTCCTGGACCTCTCCCTGAAGATCTTAGCCACTTTACATTTTTCCCAGGCCATATCTTTTCTCTGAGAAAGACCAGACTCCTATATCTTAACTACATATGAAGCACATCCACAGGGCCTTCCCACTGAACATACTCAAAAATGATCTCCTCCCTTTCAAGAGCAAAATCAGCAAGAAATGCAATTGACAGCACCAAGGGCCAGTTCTTCTGAGGTATGAAAAAAAGAGAGGTGGAGGGGCTAGGATTGTGACCGGTAGAGCTCTCGCTGAGCACGGGAAGGATCTGGGTTTAATCCTCAGCACCACATAAAAATAAAGGCATTATGTTGTGTCCATCTACACCTAAAAAATAAAAGAGAGAGAGGTGGAAAGGAAAAAAGGAAGGACAAGGAAATACAATTATTTTTGGTACTGGGACTTGAACTCAAGGGTGCTTTACTGCTAAGCACATCCCTAGCCYTTTTAATTTTTATTTTGAAGCAGGATCTCACTAAGTTGCTTAGGGCCCCACKAAGTTGCTGAAGCTGGCCACTGTGATCCTCCTGCCTCCAACTCCTGAGTCAGTGGGATCACAGGTGTATGTCACCGTGCCCATGAGGAAATATAACTTTAATCTGAAAGGCTTGTGCTAAAGTTTCTTATACCTTCACTCCCAAAATCAGTATTCCTCCTAGGGCTGTCACTCCTCAAGCCAGTTCTGTCTCCCAGACCTGTCACTCCCAAATTTTKGGGAAATATACACTCACAATCTTACAGTTACCATAAATTCACTCATTTATGAAAATTACCTTGTACACTATTAATTAGCCTATGCAATAAGTAGATTAAGCAAAGAATGATATCTTAAGAAACCTATAACATAGGGTACTTTCTTTTTTTTTTTAAGAATTTTAATATTTATTTTTTAGTATTTGGCAGACACAACATCTTAGTTTGTATGTGGTGCTGAGGATCGAACCCGCTGCACGCATGCTAGGCGAGCGCGCTACCGCTTGAGCCACATCCCCAGCCCAAGGGTACTTTCTAGTTTTATCTTCTGATCAGCAAAGGGGAACTATATTAGCCTAAGGATCCTGAGAACTGCCAGACCACCATAAACGTCGTTGTTATCACCAGTTATCCCCACATACCTTCCCATGCCCACCCTGTCTTTGCCTCTAAACTGAGGCATCCTTAAAGTCATTTCTTGAACATCTGTCAACAACCCCACTAGTCCTGACTTGAAAGCCTCTCTCTCTAGGAACTCCTCAGACCTTCAAGTGATACTTCCACAGTAACATCAAAAAATCAAGCAAAAACTATTAGCAACAAAGTAAACATGGAACTTAAAAAAAAAAAGGGGGGGGTCAAGTTTAAAATAGTAAGATGGTTTCACAGCATTTTTACTTTCCTTTGTCAGATCTCCCAACCTGACTCAATGAAATCTCAAAGATGGCAGCCTAATTTCCAGTGTGGACTGCTGGTCCTGATGCTGGAGGGAACAGAACAGACCTTATTCTTCAAGAAGTGTGTTTGTTCTGACTTTCTGGTGCCTGCCTGAAAAATTAATATAAGGCTAGTCTGTTTTACCTACCTTGAACTCACTTAGAACAGAAAAATAGGGGACATTCCTCTAAAACACTGTAAAAAAGAAGATGCACCCACCTGGGGCAAAAGATTATAGAGCAAAAAAAGCAAAAGCTAAATTTAATAGCCAAATCTCTTGTCAACATAAAAGTAATAGGGCATTCAAAATGGTACTACAGAATTTAGAAAGTCTCATGGCATGTTAAAGGTGCTCAAAAAAGACCCAAGAATACTTTATGTTTCACCTCTGGTTGATCTCAAGCACAGCAGGAAGACCAGAGCTGAGTTGTAAATGGCCTATTAAAGCAATAAAAGAACATCCCCAGCAGAGAAATCTGCAAAGACTGAGAAAAGATGTTTTCCTCCTTTCTACTTTTTCCTYTTTCATTTTTTCTGTATTTATTGAGGCTCCTGATATTCAAGGAAATCTCTATCAAAACACTAGCTGAGGGCTGGGGTTGTGGCTCAGTGGTGGAGTACTCGCCTAGCACATTCGAGGCCCTGGGTTCAATCCTCAGCACCACATAAAAATGAATAAAATAAAGGTATTGTGTCCTTTATTTTAAGAAAGTAAAAAGGAAAAGAGTCTAAGCGGTCTATAGAACATAGTACACATAATGGGAGTACCAAAAACAAAGAAGTGACAGAAAGAATATTTGAAACAATAATAGCTGAAAGCCTCCAAAATTTGATAAAAGTCATGAATACATACATACAAAAAGTTCAATAMGCTCCAACAAGGATAAACAAAAAGATCTACTCAGAGATGCACTATAATCAAATTACTAAAAGAATCTTGAAAACAGCATGAGAAGCAACTCATGACACACAAGAAATCCTCAGTAAGATCAACAGCCACATTCTAGACAAAAACCACAAAGGTAAGAAAACAGTGGAATGACATATTTAAAATGCTGAAAAAGAAAACTACCCACCCAGAGTTCTGTACTTGGTAAAATTACCCTTCAAAAGTGAAAAAAGAAGCACAGTGGTGCATACCTATAATCCCAGCTACTCAGGAGGCTGAGGCTGGAGGATCACAAGTTCAAGGCTAGTCTAGGCCAATTT